GGAAGTAACCTGCAAGATGCCATGAAAAACCATGCTGAAAACAGAACATGGAATATTTTCTAACCCAAAAAGAGATACCCTTAGAATTTTCAGGATGAATTAGAGGTTCTCTGATGGATCCCTTCAAGGCAAAATTTGACCAAGGCACATTGGTCAAGAATGAGGTTTTATAACTGCTTTTTTCTAGTAAAAAGCAGCTTGTGCAGACCACTCCCCCATTCTTAAATAGCAACTGCAGCCATAGGTCTGCACTAATATTTTGCCATACAGAACCAGAGGTATGAACATGGTCATAGAATTCATTAAAAATGGACCAAAACACATGGCATCCAGTGGTTGGGCCAATTGTAGCATATGGCACAGGGTAAAAAAAAACTAGTAAAATATCAGATTAGAAATGCTGTAAAATATTTTAGGCTTCTCATCAGATCTATATGCAGGGACAGAACAATTATACTGAAGCAACAAAGTTGATGCAGAAGTCAGATGAAGATTTGCAGCTTAGTTTATTCTGATGTTGGACCAGATTATCACAGCAGATCCTGCAGGTATAAACATCCATTAGTGAAAGCGTATTATTTCAAGAAAGTATATCTTTTCATCTTTGCCATATCACTGAGATTCCCCTCTTCTTCAAAGTAAATTCCTTTCCGACCAATTCTTGATGACTGTTCTAGTCTACCGTCAGCTCTATTACAACATCTCCAGTGTCACTGCATGATTTAACATTTTAAGTTTAAATATGCAGAACTGGGCTTTTACATAGGCCAGTAGGCCACTGAACACATCACATTATTTCCAGCCTTCTTAAAAAAAACCTTCACACAAGTAAAAATTGAAAAAATTAGGACTTCCATGTCACCTTCAGCTTAATTCAATTGCATCCAAGTTACTCCTCCTTACAAATTATTACTGTTAAGTTGTTAAGAAATAAAACAGTGTCACTGTCATCCACCACCGTTTGAAATGCTCCTGTCAGTGTGCTGCCATGTATAACTATAATTTATCTCCACCATTTTTTACCAAATGTGTTATGATATTATTATTTTATCCAAGTGCTTGCTCAATTTAGCATGCTGTGCAAGACAGGACTATGCAGGTAATTAAAAAAAAAAACGAGGCAAAATTCTCTCATAAATATTACTATTAAAAATGGTTCTTTTCTTATCTTGGGGGATGTTCACCTTTTTTTCCCCATTTGTTCAAAATACACAACCTCTTCAGTATATATGACAGCACATACCAGAGCAACTCATTTCATAACAGGGTATATGCAAAGAAACTCAGTTATCTCCATTTAAGTAGTCCTGCGTACTGGCCATACAATCTAGATGCTGCATTTCAACCCAGATTGTTACAGTTCCTCTACTACTTCAAAGAAAAAACACAGGTCCTTCTACCTCTTGCGATCAGACTCGTGTATTTGTGAAAAAGCTGACCAAAGTCAATGAATGCCCACCTATAATATTTTCTACCCAACTTAGTAAGGCTTACCTTAGAAGCAAGGATGTTCTTATTTAAAAACATAGTGTTTAACAAACAGGACAATAAAACCAATTCAAAATATTTTTTAATTTGAGAATTTTTTTCTAATTGCCATGGTTCAAAGATTTTATTTAAATCCATTACAAGAAAAGAAAACTACGCACAAAATTAGTAATTCTTGATATTTAACTATTTCTATTTTGGAAATGAATAAACTGTTAATAAATTGTATTTTAAACAACTGACTGTTCTAAGTAACAATTTCTTCATGAATGAAGAGTAACAAATAAATATCACGTGTTCAAATGAAATACTACATTGCTATTATCAAGCATTAAGAAACCAATGTTATTATGGTAGGTTTTACTTTGATCCAGAAATTTATCCAAGAAGAAAACATAAGCTGTATTATGCATAAGTCACTCTGAAAGTAATGCCTCTTATTTATTTCCATTGAAACTAGCAGATTCAAAGAGTAAAATAACAGTTTGTTATAGCAAACTTTTTAACAGTCACCACCATTACCTATACATTTTCACCAGCAAGGAACCTATAGAGCCTATATGCCACACTTGTAAATATCTGCATAGACATCCAGAACGTGGCTTGTCTTCCACATCACTGTTACCACTGCTGAAATGCAACCACTCACCACCTTGCTGTGCTCACCATTTGGTTTCCATATGTGTTCAGCAAGTGTTGTTGAATGTCAGTGTGTTGCATTTTCTCTGCATGGAAGAATTCAGTGACACACTTTTGCTTCATATGCTTTTCCAAGTGAGATGCCATTTTGTCAGACTGCCCCTCTGCTGTCATTGTTGCACAGTAACAAAATGTAATGGAAATTGGCAGGAAGGTTCAACCTCTAACTACTGTAACACCAACATTTGCCTCTGGCATCTTGGGCCAGCATAATAAAATAAGAGTCATTAGTTTCAGAGCAACTCTCACATAAGTATTTTCCTAACAGATACCAAGAAGTAGAAAAGAAAATGTTAGTTGGCATTTGCTCCTACTGCCAGTCAGATAGTGATGGAGTGTTTATAACTGTTTTTTAGAACATCCAGGTAAAAAATCTAAAGAGAAGATGTGGGAAAATTTAGTAAATCTGAAAAAACACTCTTACAAAAGCTGACCAACACCTATCACTTGAACGGTAAAGGCATTTGGAGGATACCCTCACTAATATGCTCTAACTTTCATGTAGCCCTGAAGTGGCCAGGCAGCTGGATTTGATATTTAAAAGTCCCTTCCAAATGAGCTATTCCATTCCATTCTGTAAAAATTAAAAGAAATATTGCAGTGTATCTGTACCTGTATACTAAGACCTAAGCAATATTAATTATATTGTCAGCCCTCATGGTCTCCCTATGAATTATCCATTTATTTGAGTTCAGTAAGAATAATGGGTGTGCTGAATGTGTAAGACTGCAGTGGAAGGGGAAATACTCATTTCTAAAGCGTATCCACTGGAAAGGCTCACAGCCCTAATTATCCTACAAACGAGGTGTAGCTATTGAAAACATCCCTCTGCAATGTACTGGCTCTTAAGTCCTGATCTGTTTGTACCATGTGTACAGAACCATGGGAAAACAACTGCTTTATGGAACAGAGTTCAACTGCTGCAAATTCCTTCAGCGAAGGAAGTTTGATCTAATGATACACTATGTTTTTGGGAGCAATACACTAAAAGGGATAAACTCTTGGTTGATGTCAACTTCTGATTTCTTCACTTAGGCTTTAGCTTCACACATTATAACTAATTTCTGCCCAGCCTCAATATTTGGTGTATCAGTGGAGTTTTGGAATTAGTTGGCCTTTAAGGTCCCTTCCAACCCATACCATTCTATGATTCTGTGAAATGCACAGGAAAACTTCCACAATTTGCAACTTTTTAAAAGTATACCTTGAAAGATGAGCTAGCTCCCTCAGGATGGTTTTTGGAAAACCAACTAGAATTGGCACAGCCCAGCCTATTCTTGAGAGAGTTGCTTCTATACGTGTTTGCTTGAACTTCAAGGAAAAGCTCTAGCTGAAACTACAGAAAGGAATCCAAAGCAGAATGGTGTTTCCATCCTACTTTGTGCAGGCTGCTAAAGGGCATAGAAGCACCTGAGCTCTCTGCAAATGCCCAGAGTTGTAATGCAGCACACATCAGAGAACCAGGATCTGAAAAACATGTCCATTTGCAGCCACTTAAAATAATAACAACAGAAATCTCTCAGTAGTCACCATTTTCCTATGTAGCCTCTGAAAAAAAGGCAACGCTGAAAAGTGTTCATTCAGATACATGCATATTTATACTAAAGGTTACATTTTATTTGAGATGTTTGAAGCACAGAATAAAATAATGTGTACAAGTCACCTCTATTTCTCACTGACAACTTCTCATCAATTTCTTCATAACTGCTACTATTAATGAGACGCATACATAACAATCTACACTTAGTCCTGTAATCACAACTACTTTGACAAAAGAACAAGTAACTTTTTTTCAGCTAGCCCTCCTCCCTGTAGCCAAGACTTTGAACTGATCAATTAGCATGCAGATTCTTTTCTCTCAAACCGCTTGGTAATTATTTCATACCTGAGGTACAATATGTTCATTAAGAAGCATTCTGAAATGCACAGCTGCACTGGTATAATTTCCATCACTGCTTTTGAAAAATATTTCCATAATATGACAAGGTTTTAAAAGACAGAATAAGAAAACTATAATAACTGAGATAACACAGCAGTCTTCTAGAGATGCTCTGAGATCAACATACTTCACAGATATTGATACAAGATCAGTCAGTTTGAGAAAGGGATCTACATTCTAGTAGGCTTGTAGGGAAAAAATAAAATAAAATTGTTTATAGATTTATTTTTTGCCACATCTGCTTTAGCCTCCTGGAATGATAATTTGATCTTCCTTCAAAAAGACTGAGCAACAGCCGTGGCAACACTGCTGCGTGATTGTTATAACCTGTGGAATGATGCACATTATCACTGAATTATTACTGAAGTTGAAAAATCAGATCTCTCTCGTGGATACTAATAACACATTTACACAACAGCACCCAACTGTTGTGCCTTCAGCACTTCAATCTAGCACCTTCCCCCCCCCGCCCCAAGAGATCGACGCCAACTCCACGGAGCCAGGCACGAATGGGCCCGATCCCTCTGCTGGGGCCGTGCATGACCGGGGCTGGCAGCCCCCGACCACGCGCTGCCCACTCTCTCGCCCGCAGCTGCCTCTCGCAGCCCCGCAGCGCCGAGCCAGAACCTCCGGGGAAACGCGGGGGCACGGCGGCGGAGGCAGCTTGTTGCACGGGGAGAACGGTGCGAAACTCTCCCCGCGAACAAGTGGGATGCGGCAGAAGTTTTACTTCGGCGGCTCCCTCATCTCCCGCAGCCTATCGGAGGACCTTTTTAATTATTATTCTTTCCATTATTTGGCTTCATTTTTCACTTTCGCAACACACCCTCTCCTCCTCCCTCAAGGCACCCCACACCCGGCACCCCTCACTCACCCGCTCCCCAGGCGCACGGTGAGCAGCAACAGCAGTAGCCGAGCCCCGCGGCAGCGACTCCAACGGGATGCGGGCACCCCCCAAGCGTCCATGGGCGTGCGGGCGCTCTCCCGTCCCCGACTTTGTTCCGGAGAGGCTGGGGAACAGCGACCCTGCCGATCCCAACCCCCCCCCCCCCCTCCCCGAGCGGCACACAGTGGGGAAAGGGAGGAGGGGGAGGGGAATAAATAAATAAATAAAACACCCAAACAGGTAGGAACCCACACTACAAGGACGGACCAACTCGCCCAATAGGCTCATCAGGTTGCTCCATAAATTATCCTAAAAACTACCGGGCGAATCAATCCCTAGTAGAGGTGGAGCCTGCTTTACTAGAAGGGAAACACGCTTGGGGGGAAAGGGTGGCATTGATTTGCTATTTTCTCCAAAGAGGGAAATAAAACAGATCGTTAGTATATATAAATGCGGAATATATAAAATATTAAATGTGCATTTAAAGCCACATGCATATATTTAGCCTTTTTCTTCCGTATTCAGAGGACGGGAGCATTGCGAGAGGCACTCTCGGCCTCTCCGTAGGGAAGAGAACCCCGGGGGGGCGACGTGCTCAGAGCCCAGCGGGAACTGCGCGGCGCAGCAGATCTGGGGTCAGGGTGGCAGCAATTTCGGGGATGGAGGAGCCCCTACTCCCAACTCGTCCCCAGGGGCCCTCCCCTCCGCTTCCCCTGCCGCCCCGCTGGATGCTGGCCGCTCGCTCGGCGCGTAAGGGTGAGTGCGGAATCTGCGCGCAGCCGGGGAAGGAGAGCTGCGCAAGCTCGGAGGCTGCTCGTAGCTCTGCGCGGCCGCGGAGTGCCCCCGGGGGGGAAGCGGAGGATGCGCGGAAAACACAAAACGCCCCCTTTTTTCCCTCCTCTTTTTTTTTTTTTTCCCCCCTATTTTCCCCCTCTTTTATTTCTCTTTTCTTGTTTTTCTCCCTCTCCTTATGTCTTCCTTCTCCTCCCTCTTTTGGGAGACCTGAGGGGAAAAGTAGTCGAATAATAATTCTGAACCTTGCAAATCCGCACGATGGTGCAGTAGCAGAAACTCTGCGGCTGTTCCTCACCCGCAGAAGCCTCCAGCGGTGAAGAACGGGTGGTTACATCTCGTCGGGACCAGGGCTTAGATAACGCGTATTTCTTTGCATCGCTTTTTTTTTTTTTTTTGGGGGGGGGGGAGGGGGGGGAGCGGCCCCTGCGACTCCTCCCCAAACTTCCCTGTACCCAGAGGAGTCCCAGCATTCAGCTCTCAATGGGGCACTCCGGGAGCAATCAGCTCTGTGGGCAGAACACCTGTTTTATTGTCATAGCCATCTTTCAAGTCAAAAACGCAGCTGTATCACATCCTAAATAATCCCCCATTCGGTGATTATTCTGATGGAGGGTAGTGTTTTGAGTTGGATTCTTCTCCTCGATGCACCATCATCCCTTTACTGTTTTAGGCATACAGTTTACAGCTGCTCTAATGGTTAATGAAATTAACCACACTTCAGAGAGCTGCAGTACATTAAGTGAAAATTCAACGACTTGAAAATTAATAGTCAGTCCTGGGGGTGCTGGTAGAAGGTAAAAGCACACATTTCTGCATGACCCGAGGTCTCTTTATTGGTGAATTAACACAGCATCCTGGCATGATAGCAGAGGCATGAGCTCAGAGGAGCATTTTTTGCAGCGAGCACAGAAGCAGCCCTGCTACAGCTGGTGGTAGCGGCTCTGCTTTGTACTCATTGCTGGGGGAATCTCAGCCCCTCTCCTGGTCTTCTTCCTGTGAAGTCCTTCCACCCTATAAAAAGCTATGGTCTTTAGGTTTGTTGTGGATTGATCCTTCAAATCAGCTATGCTTCACAAAACAACCACTGAACTAACACCTCTGCTTTCAATTCCAAAGTTTGCGGAGCCATTTCAACTCTTACCACTCTCTAAAATTTAATCTCATCATTAAAATGTTGTATAATTAATGTGACTACTTGGAAAGTTAGACATAAAAGTTACTACTTATACTGCTAGTAGTCTGGAAGAAAACAAACAAACAAACAAACAACTTCTTTCTACGTGAGTGGTTTGGAACAAAGATTTAAAGATATTCAATTTCCCTCCTGCACAGGTCCAGCAGCCTCCTTGCACCAAAGGAATAGATAGGAGGATTAGAACTAAAATGGCATGTAGCTTGATAGTGCAATAGCAGAAGAAAAAAAAATCATTAGATCTCTAGGATTAGAATGCTATCGAGAATAGAAAATAGTTTGAAATAAAATCAGCACCAATGAGGTTTCTTAAATGATGGAAAAACAATGACGTAGACGTGACATAGAACATGCTGGTTTTGGATAGTCCCAAATCTGAATTTTCATGTTACTTTAGTATAAACAATAGAAGCCTATCTGAAATTAAAAGAAAATTTTCCATCAATAAAATACTGGCTGAAAAAATGGATTCAAGCACTTGGAAGGTTAAGAACTAAATAATGATAATAATAAAATTAATCTTAAACTTTGAGCAGAAAACATGAGGATGAAAAAAATCTTAGATATTCTCCATTTTCTGTAGAACAACAACAACGAAACAAACATCACACCAATGAATGTCAGAAGGAGACACTGATACAGGATAATAAACTAAAGGACAATTAATTATCCACACCTGCTGATACTCATCACCCACTTGATTCTGGAGCAGCTACCTAGCTATGGTGTATAAATTCTTATTTGCAATCATATTCTCCAGTTGAGAATGGTAGGGCAGTATTCAAGCCACCCAATAAAAGAATTAAAAAACAACCTACACACCAACAGAGAAGTCACCAATGCATTTTCAGATCTATTAGGCAGCACTTCAGAAAATGAACAATGCTAACATTCAAGCAAAAATGTAGGATTCAGATCACTGTTGTTATTAAAGAGGAACAAACCAGAATGGCTTCTGCAAGGGAAAAATAGTGTCTCCCTAATTTCTCCAGTCATATTTAGTGAGCCCTGAAAAGGAGAACAGGAGCTTTCAAAACCTTTGTAAGTCTACTGAAGCATTTTGAGTCCTCAAAGTTTCAAAAACACTGAGGAAACTGAAAGCTCTCATATGTAATAGTTCATAGCTATATTACACTTTTACTGAATTTCTCTGGGACATAACCACTTTCCTGACAGAATACATGACACTTGGCAGGTCTAGGAGCTTGCATACCACTTTGAGTGAATAGAGAGCTTTGAAAATCTGGCACTAATGGGTGGCCCGTCCACATTCACTGTGCTTAAGGAAAGTTGGTGGCCTTGTCCATAAGGACTCTTGTCCTTATGTAAGAAACACCCTGCTGAAAACAAAGACATCCCATGCATGAAGAGGAAAGAGAAAATGATTACATCATTCTGTCCTCCATAGATATAAAAGTTCATACAATAGCAAGAGCTGAAGAACCATTGCAGCCATTCGTCAAGAGAGCAGATTTATTTGGTACATTTTTGGTGAAGTTACAAATGCAGACACTAACTGTGAATGCTACGTTGCCCCTGTAATTTATGTGCATGTAGATGAGCATTCACAAATGCAAGTGCAACCAGATGCACTGTATTTTGAAACAACAGCACAAGTGTAAAGAGTTATATGTTTTCATAGGACAAATCAGAAAAAGTGGCTTTAAATATGCAATAAACTTTCACATTTAATCCTACCTGAATGTTTACTTTGTAATAAAACTCAAGAATGGTATGACAAATAGCACAGTAGCCTGCTGTTGCATCTGCTATAAAAAGCATCTCAAGAACAAAGAAAACGAATACAAACATTTTAGCATTGACCTTTTAAAATGTACCTTTAAAGATAAATGTAGTAAATTTCCAAGCAAGAAGAACAGAAAGACGTAGAAACATCACTTCAGTGTAGCTTTCATATCATGATTAAAAACACACAATAATTGCATTCAGTGAAATGGTCAACATCTTAATAGAAAATAAATTATAAAACTCTCACTTCTCATAGCTAAATACCATTTTAATTAAAATTTCATCTTTGATACATTGATTTAACTGCTCACTCACTAATGTTATTCATTAAGATGATTGCTAACAGTATGACTTTAGCAGCACTTAAAAATCAAATGGGAGAAATAATCTCAAGTAGAAAACTACAAATGTGGGGAGAAAACTGAGGAAAAAGTGGGAGAGCAGGAGGGTTGGATTATATAAAACTACATCATTTACAATTAGCATTTGTTTCCCTTCTCCTTTTATGCCACCATGAAATGAAACATGTTGAAGTGTGGGCAGATACAGAGTAGCAAGGCTGAAGTGCTTAGATGCAGAAAGATCACTTCAAATTTCATAAATTTCCTTGGCCTTCCTAGTACATTTCAAGAGACCTTGAAGCTTTTCAATGAGAGTCAGAAAACAGAAGGTAAATACTTCCTTGCCCCCTTCTCTTTCTCAGGTTATAAATCAACCTCTCTACCTCTTCTGCTGTTTGAAAATACAATTTTTTTCTCATCATCCCCTCCACCTTTCAGGAAATATCACAGAAAATGAAAGCCACAGCCTGCATTTCTCAGTACCATGGATTTCCCGTCTTTCAAGACAGTGGGCTTTGTTATGGAATATGGAGACCAACAGGAAGAGGACTGCATAACTGTGAGTGTGTGAGACAGAGAGGCCTCGGAACATATGAGATATTTACAGCATCTTTAAGGGGGAGCTAAAAGAAAGTGAATTGCAGGAGTGCTAGAACCTCCTCTGCTCTGATGCTAATGGGTCTTCAGCCTGGGGGACAGGATTAGCATTACTCTAAAATAAAAACATTCAAAATTGGTGTTTGATCCTCAGCACTCACATATTATCTCAGAAGACTTTCTTCTGTAACACCATTGTATTTGCCAATGTAGCCAAAGTCATATTTCACGATTAGAAGATAAGAACCCTGGCATAAATCATGGCAAATCAGCCTGCTAGTGTAGGTGCTCCCATATTTTCAAATCATATAGCAAAGAGCACTTTTTGCCATTTCCCTTTTTCTCCAGGCAGGATGGAAATTCTTTGAGAATGATAAGAACAAGATTTTTTTTCATGGCTTACAGG